ATACAGTTTGCCAGGGTGAGTCCACTTTGCATGCTACAGCTTCTTAAAACCACAAGTGAGAGCTGGGTGTTTCAGGTAAAGACAGATGAGCAGAATTTAGACTGGAGGTGCTAGTCTTCCCTGAGCACACCCTACACACCTGTGCTCTATACGCTACACCACACTGTCTTCTCTAATTTATCAAAGATTAAGCTTTATCACTGTTCTTCAGAGTACAACAAATCTCCTTCTACTTTCCTTCCCTTATATAGGCTGCACAGACAAAATAGAATATTCTTCCCTTTTTCCCTTTCTTCTTCCTTCTTTGTTTTTTACTTCCGTGATCTTGATGCAACTCTTCATTCATCCATTACTTTTCATCAGAGCTTTTATTTACAACAGTCAGCAAACACTAGCCACAAAGTAGAGGCAGGTCATGGGGTGCTTTTAGAGGGGATAATCTATGAAAATTCATGCAAACATATCACAAACTAAATATGTTGCCAACAATGGAGTATAGATGACGGTTTTGTCAATGAAGTAGAGTTAAAGAAAGTTGCCTGAGTTCATCCAAAGGCAAAGTTGGTTTTGCAGATTGTCACTTCTAAAGAACTCTGTTGTTTAATCATTTTAGTTGTATCTGACTCTTTGTGACCCCATTTGGGGTTTTCTTGGCAAAGTTTGCCATTTTCTTCTCTAGCTCATTTTACTGATGAGGAAACTGAGGCAAACAGGGTTAAGTGACTTGCCTGGGGTCACACAGGTAGTAAGTGGCTGAGGTCAAATTTGAACACAGGATGATCAGTCTTGTTGACTCCACACCCGGCACTCTATCCACTGTAGCACCTAGCTGCCCTGAAAGAAGTCTACTGTCAAATATTCTTGTTGCCACCACCAGAAATATCAGTCTGCTCCCAGAGTAGGCAAAAGGACTGAATATGGTGTAAATGGAGTCAGCTTCTAGGTGGGAAGTGGTTGTGCTTATACAGAGATCTTTTCCCAAAGTAGTTTCTAGTGATTCATATGGCTTAGACATGGAAAATGAAGTTGATTTCAATATGTATTCACTTGCTGGTGGTAGCAAGTTTCCTAGTTCTAAAGACTTTTTTTGGTAAGTAGGAGAAGGAGTTATTAGATCTGTAGCTTCATAGGTGTACACAGCTCCCAATACGGAAAATCTTTTCATTGATGCAGATCTATAACCATTTTCTCTGTCTCTGCTTCTCTAATTAGTTGTAAGATCTTACCATTTCCATCTTCACAGCATCTTTGGCTTCTGATTCCTTTTCTCTGCTCACACAGCATCACCTTAGTTCGGGTCCTCATCACCTCTTAATTAGATTATTACAATACCTTTTTAATACTTATAATTTATGGATACTCATCTGAAACTATTCTCTTCAAAGTTACCAATTAGCTGGAAAGAAGTGGGGGGGGAGTAAGGAATGCAGAGGTAGATACAGTTAAGTTGCCCTTCCCTTAATGTATTAATATATAGATACAGTTTGTAGCAACTACAAGTTTAGTTTGAATTTAGAGCATTTGGGGGAACTATTAATATGTCACGTTAGTTAATGTATTTACATTGAATGCTAGTTAAATTGTATTTACAAAAGAAAAGTTGGGAGGCAGCTAGGTGGCACAGTGGATAGAGTACCAGCCTTGGAGGCAGGAGGACCTGAGTTCAAATCTGGCATCAGACACTTACTAGCTGTGTGACCATGGGCAAATCACTTAATCCCAATAGCCTTTAAAAAGAAAAGAAAAAGAAGTTGGCAAAATGTATTATGAAAGACCAAGAGATGCAGAGGGGGCAGGGATGTACATAACTGAAATCGGGATAACCTGAGTACTTATGTGATTCTTTATTCACTATTGAAATATGCAACTAAAGATCACCTCTTGGTTGCTAAGTAAGCATTTGTAGCTTGTACGTGTGGCAAAACCATAGATATAGTAGAACCCTCTCATTTTATAGATGAGGAAAGTGAGGCTCAGAAGTTAAAGGATTTCGAGTCAGGATCAAGTTAGTGTTGTGAACTATTTTAAAATAAACGTATTTTGAAACAATTACTTTAATTAGAAATTTTTACATCATTATCCAGTACTGTTTTGAATCTGCCTTTTTGGACAAGTAAGCATAAATACATAGAAATTGAATGAATGTCTATTCAAATTAGGATTTCAACCAAGGATTTCTAGTGGGATAATATATATATTTTAATGCCTATCATATCATCAACTTCAATGTTACACTTTCTATTTTTTAAAAGTTCCTCTGTTGTGACTAACGTAAAAGACATCATTATGAGTTCAGGTTAACATCTCGACTTTTGCAGGCAATAACTTAGAAAGAAGTTTATAATGTGAAAAAAAGACTGAAACATGATCAAAAGAAGTATTTCTGCTATTAGGAACTTAAAAGAATCTTATTTCTTCATTATTCTTCTTTCAGAAGATACCAAAAAATGTGCTTTTCTATCTGACTTTCCATTAAATATTTGTGTTTGGTGTTTGCCACACTTTAAAAAAATCATATTTCCACTTCCTTCCTTTTTCCTCCCAAGTAAGTTATCCCATCTTTGGCTTACCAGTCTCCAGCAACTCTTATAATTGATATGTCCTTTTGAGTTTTCCTTCAAAATAGCTCATGAACATCCCTTCTATGTTCACACTGCCATAACCTCAGTCAAGGCCCTAATCACATAAGGCATGGATTCATTTCAATAAAATATTAAGCACTTCTCTATCTGCAGAACACTATGCTAATTACTAAGGGAGATTTTTAAATATAAGAGATATTAGATGTTGCCTTCATGCCTGACATTTAAAATTTAGTATAACTATGCAACATATTTTTAAGAACTATATTGCTAGACATGAGGGATATAGATTATACTAAATAAATTAATGTAGCAGCTTTATAGTTATCTTCCATGGTTGTATATTCTTTCATGTTTCTTCCCAATATTTGATTACTTTTGAATTTATTGAGTTTTAGATATTTAGAAGCATTTTCCACACATAAGTCTATATGCAGCTGTAATTTTTCCCAGTTGCAATGATTTGTGAGGAGGGTGTCACTATGCAGAGGAGAGAGAAAGGGACTGTTAATTTGAAGCAGACAATGAAATAAATCATCACACATCTTTTTGCTTTGACTCAAAAATTATCTTATCAGGTAAGTAAAAATGGTCAACTACCTCAAAAAGTAAGCAAACAATCTTTCTCACCACTAATGGTAGTCATATAATTGTTTGGCAATGCCAGGCATGAAAGCAAAATCTCTTGTCTCCCCCAGTACCTGTATAATGACTAAAATGAAAGATGTTATGAGTTTAGCTTAATATCTGATTTTTACTGGTAATAACTAGGAAAGAACTCCCTGTTAAAAGCTATAATCAATTGAGTATAATATTAGTTTATACATCACAGCTCTCTATAATAACTGATTTATAATTTAAGTTAGCAAGTCATTAATCTATTTCCCTGACTTCCTTTAAATCCTTTCTAGGGACTCCTATTTTTAACAGATTTGTTTCGAACTTTTTACTTTGAAACTGCAAAACATACACAGTTTCCATGATTGGAGTCCTTTCTTCACTGCCTGGTACAGATTACATTCTAAGTCTTAATGAGCATCATGCATTGCTTTCCAGATTGAACTGGAAATCTGCCCCTCACTCACATATCTAAAGCTTTCTGGCTTGAGAAGGCCAACCATAACTTGTGTGCCATTGGCATAGCTCTCCAGAACCAAGGGTCCCCTTGAGACCAAATTGAAACATCCATGTTATAGAACTTGAAAGTAGACTGTCCTAGAGCATCGGGAAAATAAGGAAGAAAATGACAATCCATTGTAATAATAATAATAATAATAATAGACACTTTAAAGTTTGCAGAGTGCTTTACCATAGATAGGCAAGGCTCATCACAATCTTCTAAGTTAGGCCTTAGAGAAAGGATTATTATTCCTGTTTTGCAAATGAAATGCAATTCAGAAAAGTTGAATGATTTGCTCAAGGTCAGATAGTCCAATGGTCAAAATCAGTTGCAAAGGATGCCAGAGAAGGAATTGCTCTGAGGGGTAGAGAGAGTCTCTTTTTCTCTCCTCCCCTTCTCTACTTATAAACTTGGAAAGGTAGCTCTGTGCCATGAATATCAGCGGCTGATGAGTGTCCATATCAGAAGCTGAAGCTCACATTATGAACCAACTGACACACTGAGTAGGTAAGGGGCTGCTTAGTGCATATAAAGTGCTGGGCCTGGAGTCAGGAAGACCTGAGTTCAAATCTGGCCTCAGACACTTACTAGCTGTGTGACCCTGGGCAAGTGACTTAACCTCTGTTTGCTTTAATCCACTGGAGAAGAAAATGGAAAACCACTCCAATATCTTTGCCAAAAAAACCCCACGGACAGTATTGGTGTGCTATGGTCCATGGGGTCATGAAGAATCAGCATTTCTGAATGACTCAACAACAGACACACTGAGGAAAGTCACTCTGCAGGAAACATGACCCCTGAGGTGGGGTGGAGAAGTTAGTTGGTTGTCCTTCATTCTCATAGAGGACCAAAATGACATCACTATGTTAGAGTGAAGTCACAATGTGTCCTACTGTGGCTGATCAGACTAATACAAGCTCAGGGCGCTCTACCACAGGTCGGGCACAAATAGTCCATGTGAATATTTGGGGTGAATTCTCTCAATTTGCGCATCTCATGGTTCTTTTGAGCAATTTCAGTTTTGTTTTGCACATAGAGCACAGCACTTTCTTTGATGAGGGCATGCCATGGTGGGTGGTCCTGTGCCAGTGTCTCCCATGTCACATAATCAATTTTGTATTGTGGGAGACAGGGGCTGAATGATTCTGATTCCAAATTTGCTGCTAAATCCACCATACCATGCTGCCCGGTAAAAAACAATCTAGGACCTTTCTGTTTAAGGAACTGTGCAGAAAGGATTTCATAAACAATTGACCATTAAACTGTTTATTATCATATTTAAACCAATTTTACAAACTAGGTAAATGAGATTGCTATAATTTATATGCACAACATGTGCTCTTTTTCTGTCAGTCTGTTCATTTTAATCTGGTGATGCTGATCATCTTCCTTCCTCTTCCTCTTCCTCATTTGATGCTGGGAAACAAATGTGAGTGAGATACAGCTTAATTTTAAATAATTTCAAATTCTTAAATTACTTAGCAAGACTTTAGTGATTAAAATCATGAAATAGTATATATTGTTTTTAAAGAAAGAAAAGGAATACATATATGTATGTATACACATATATACTATATATGTATGTGTGTATACATACATACACACATATTAGTTATGTTCTCAATGCCATCTAGTAAGGACAATTTGAATGTCAATTCAAGGAATATTGCACTGCCAAGCACTAGGTGCTGGTGACATAAACACAAAAATGAACAATTCCTACCCATTAAACTAAGGAATTAAAATTTGCCAAAAGGAAAAGTTCATAGCAGATAAATGCAGCAAAACATCTTTGTTTCTAAATATGCATTCCCATGTTAACAACAATAATTGAAAGGATACCTACCATGTAGACTAGGCTAATTTTTTTCCCTAAGAGGCTGGGAAATTGTCCCTGAGAATTTTATGCTTCAGCTGAAGTTTAAAAAAAAAAAGGCAGAGGTAGCAATCATGATCTCAGACAAAGCAAAAGCAAAAATAGATCTAATTAAAAGAGATAAGGAAGGAAAGTATATCTTGCTAAAAGGTACCATAGACAATGAAGCACTATCAATACTAAACATGTATGCACTAAATGGTACAGCATATAAATTTTTAAATCATACTTTAAATGAGTTATAGGAGGAAATAGATAACAATACTGTATTAGTGGGGGACCTCAACTTTCCCCTCTCAAAATGAGATAAATCTAACCAAAAAATGAACAAGAAGGAAGTTAAGGAGGTGAATGGAATTTTAGGAAATTTTAGAAGAGTTAGATATGATAGACCTCTGGAGAAAATTGAATGGGAATAGAAGAGAATATATCTTTTTCTCAGCAGTACATGGCACCTATAAAAAACTGACCATGTATTAGGGTATAAAAAACCTCATAATCAAATGATTGTGATTTCAGATCATAATGCAATAAAAATTATATTCAATAAAGGGCAGTGTTAAGATAAATATAAAATTATTTGGAAATTAAATAATCTAATCCTGAAGAATAAGTAGGTCAAAGAATAAATCATAGAAACAATCAATAATTTACTTAAAGAGAATGACAACAATGAGACGACATATCAAAATTTATGAGATGCAGTCAAAGTAGTGCTTAGGGGAAAACATATGTCTCTAAAGGACTACATCAACAAAATAGAGAAAGCAGATCAATGAACTGGGCATGCAACTAAAAAAAAAATCAAAAAAATCCCTAATTAAACACCAAATTGAAATCCTGAAAATCAAAGGAGAAATTAATAAAATTGGAAGTTAGAAAACCATTGAACTAATAAATAAAACTAGAAGCTGGTTTTATGGGGGGAAGCAATAAAATAGATAAGTCAATGTTAATTTGATTTTAAAAAGAAGAAAACCAAATTACCAATATCAAGAATGAAAGGGGTGAATTCACCACCAATGAAGAAGAAATTAAAACAATTATTAGAAGCAATTTTGCCCAGTTATATGTCAATAAATCTGACAATCTAAGCAAAATGGATTAATATTTATGAAAATAGAAATTGCCCAGATTAACAGGTGAGGAAATAGAAAACTTAAATAACTCCATCTTAGAAAAAGAAAGTAAACAAGCCATCAATGAATTCCCTAAGGAAAAAAAAAGCCCCCAGGGCTAGATGGATTCACAAGTGAATCCCACCAAATATTTAAAGATAATTAATTCCAATACTATCTAAATTACTTGGGAAAAAAGGCAAAGAAGAAGTGCTACTCAATTTCTTTCATGACACAAATATGATACTAATACCAAAACCAGAAAGAGCGAAGACAGAGAAAGAAAACTATAGACCAATTTCCCTGAGGATATTGATGCATAAATTTTAAATAAAAGACTAGGAAGATTACAATAATATATCACAAGGATTATACACTATGGCCAGGTGGGATATATACCGGGAATGCAAGGCTGGTTCAATATTAGGAAAACTATCAGCATAATTGACCATATCAATAACAAAACCAACAGAAATCATATGATTATCTCAATAGATGCAGAAAAAACTTTTGACAAAATGTAGTACCCATTCCCATCAAAAACAGTAGAGAGCATAAAAATAAATAGAACTTTCTTAAAATGATAAGTAATATCTTTCTAAAACCATCAGCAAGCATTATCTGTAATGAGGATAAGCTAGAAACCATCCCAGTGAAATCAGGGGTGAAGCAAGGATACCCATGATCACCACTATTATTCAATATTGTGGTAAAAATGCTAGCAATAGCAATAAGAGAAGAAGAAGAAATTGAAGGAATTAAATTAAGCGTTGTGGAAACAAAACTATCACTCTTTGCAGATGAGATGATGCTATACTTAGAGAAACCTAGAGAATCAACTGAAAAACTAGTTCAAATAATTAACAACTTAAGCAAAGTTGCAGGATACAAAACAAACCCCCATAAATCATCAGTATTTCTATATATTGCCAGCAAAGTCCAGCAGCAAAAAAGAAAGAGAAATTCCATTAAAATAACTATATACAAGATAAAATACTTGGGAGTCTACCTGCCAAGACAAACCCAAGAGCTATATGGACACAATTACAAAGCACTTTTTGTACAAATAAAGTCAGATCTAAACAATTGGGAAAGAATTAATTGCTCATGGGTAGGTTGAGCCAATATGATAAAAATAACAATTCTACCTAAATTATTTTCTCAGTGCCATACCAAACAACCAAAAATTATTTTATAGAGCTAGAAAAAAATAATAACAAAATTTATCTTGAAGAATAGAAGTTAAAAAACATAAAAGGAATCAAAGAAAAAAAATATGAAGGAAGGTGGTCTAGCTATACCAGATCTCAAACTATATTATATATTATAAAGCAGTAATTATCAAAAACAATCTGGTACTGGCTAAGAAATAGAGTCATGTATCCATGGAATAGATTAGGTTCATAATACATTATAGTAAATGATCATAGTAATTTAGTGATTGATAAACCTCAAAATTTAAGCTTTTGGGAGAAAAACTCATTATTTGACAAAAAACTAGAAAACAGTATGGCAGAAACTAGGTATAGACGAACATCTCACACTTTTTACCAAGACAAGGTCAAAATGGGTACATGAGCTATATATAAAGTGTGACACAATAAGCAAATTACAAGAGTGTAGAACACTTTACTGCCAGATCTATGGATAAGAGAAGAATTTATTAGCACCAAACAACAAATAGAGAGTATCACAAAATGTGAAACAGATTAATTTGATTATATATAATTAAGAAGTTTTTGCACAAATGAAACCAATGCAACAAAAATTAGGAGGAAAGCAGAAAACTGGGGAGGGGAATCTTTTACAGCAAATATCTCTGATAAAGGCCTCATGTCTCAAATAGATGAAGAACTGAGTCAAATTTATAAGAATATAAGTCATGCCCCAATTGATAAATGGTCAAAGGATATCAGAGGCAGTTTTCAGATGAAGAAATCAAAGCTATCGAGAGTCACATGAAACGCAAATTAAAACAATTCTAAAGTACTACCTCAGACCTACCAGACTGGCTAATACGACAAAAGAGGAAAATGATAACTTTTGGAGGGGTTGTGGGAAAACTGGGATATCAATGCACTATTGGTGGAGTTGTGTACTGATCCAAGCATTCTGGAGAGCAATTTGGAACTGTGCCCTAAGAGCTATAAAACTGTTCATACCATTTGATCCAGCGATAGGTCTGTATCCCAAAGAGATTTTTTTAAAGTCAGGGGAGGGAAAGAATCTATTTGTACAAAACTATTTATAGCAGCAGCTTTTTGTGGTGGCAAAAAATTGAACATGAGGGGATGCACATCAATTGGGGAGTGGCTAAATAAATTGTGGTATATGAGTGTAGTGGAATATTGTGCTATAAGAAATGGCGAGCAGGATGATTTCAGAAAAACCTGGAAAGACTTACATGAACAGAGACAAAGTGAAGTGAGCAGAACTAGGAGAACATTGTACACAGTAACAGCAATGTTGTATGATGAACAGTTGTGAATGATTTAGCTATTCTTGGCAACACAATGATCCAAAACAATCCCCAAGGACCCATGATGAAAAATGCTATCCACCTCCAGAGAAAGCACTGATATCATTAGATTCAGGCTGAAGCATACCATTTTTCACTTTCTTTCCTTTTTTTGTTTGAGTTTTTTTGCACAAAAAAGACTAATATGGAAATTTTTTACATGATTGCATATATATAATCTATATCAGATTGCTTACCTTCTCATGGAGGAGGTAGGGGAGGATTTGGAACTCAATGTTTTTTAAATGTTAAAAACTGTTTTTACAGTGGAAAATAAGGTATTATTAAAAGAATAGACAATGCAGAAATTTGTTTTGCTTGAATATACATGTAACAGGGTTTTTTTCTCTTGCTTTATCAATAGGAAGTTGGTGATGGGAGGGAGAAAAAGCATATCCTAATTTGAAAAAACAAATAACTTTGACTTAACAACTCTGATCAACGTAATATCTAACCACAATTCCAGATAATTCAAGATCAGCTATCCACCCATATCCTGTTAGATAATGAACTCAGAGTGTAGATTGAAACATTTATTTTTAGACATAGGCAATGTGGGACTTTGTTTTGCTTGACTGTACAAGTTTGCAACAAGGATTTTGCTTTTCTTGAATTGGGGGATGGAGGTGGGAGGGGGAAAAGGTGGATTTTTGTTCATTAAAAAATAAAATAAAAAAAAGGAAGTGGATGGTTTTGATTACAGAAAAATAAAAGGGTTTTTTTACAACAAAAACAATGTCTTTAAAATTTAAATAAAAGTAATGGATTAGGAAAAAATAATTGCAGCAAATAAATCAGAAAATGTCTGACATCCCAAATCTATATAGAACAGATACAGACCTGCACCCTGAGTGTCATCCTCTGCCTCAACCATAATCTTAAGGGCCCTCAATAATAATATTTATGGATCACACCTCCACTTAGGCTTTCCCCTAAGAATATTAGGCTATGGCTCATTTTGCTTCTCCATAGAGAGTTTTCTCCATTTCCCTACAAATATTCAGTCTAACAAAGGCATTAAACATAGAACAAGTCAGAAATGCAATCATGAAAGCTCCTCCCAGGGAACCCCCTTTTCCCTCAGTTGTAAGTACACCTGCAAATTCATGGAACTATATTTCATGAAGTTCCTACCTGGTGAGAGGAATAATGAGCCATGGGCACAGGTTTACCATCTACCTACTCACTCACCCACACCCCATGTAGTTTCAAAAGGCTCCTTTCGCTCCAATGTCCTTATCTCTTTGTATAGCACCTACATAGAAATACACTCAGTCCTGGGATATGTAGGTCCAGGCAAGATGGGTTCCCCAATATGTCCTCTTGACATAGCTCTACATCGTAGTTAGGCACATACTTGACTTCTCTAATGCTGTTGAAGGCACTACTATCGTTCCCAGTTACCTAGGTTTATAATCTTAGGGCAACCTCCAGTATTTGCTGTCCCTTACCATGTGATTGCCAGTTTTGTCAGTCTAACTCTAAAATATTTCTTGCATCTGTCCTCTTCTCTCCACTCTCACAGGTATAACCCTAGTTACAAGCCTTCATCACTTTTCACCCAGACTATGTTAATAGCCTTCTGATTGATCTCTATCAATCACTAAGCATTTATTACTCTGTGCCAGACACTGTGCTAAACTCTAGGGATACAAAAAAAAGGCAAAAACACCCCTTGCCCTCAAGGAGCTTACAGTCAATTGGGGAGACAACATGCAAATAACTATATACAAGCGAGATATATACAAGGTAAATTGGAAGTAATCTCAGAGGGAAGGAGCTTGCATTATGGCAAACCAGGACAAGTTTTTGGTAGAAGGTGATATTTTCACTAAGGCCTGAAGGAGGCCAGGGAAGCCAGGAAATTGAGAAGAGGAGGGAGTCATTCTAAGCATGAGAAGCAAGTATATGGTCTCTTCTTTAAGACTTTCTCCTCTCTAATTCATCTTTCACGTAGCTACCCAAATAATGTTCCTAAGACACAAGTCTGACCAAGTTACTCCCTTGCTTTAAAACCTTTGATTATTCCTTACCCCCAAAGGATAAAGTTCATACTCCTTAGCTTAGCATTTAGCAAATTCCATAATCTGGTTCCAGCCTACTTTCCAAGCTTTATTTCTTTTCACTTTCCTTCAAACATGCTATGTTCTCACTGAACCATACCACTAGCTGTAACTCAGTCTGGTTCCTCCAAATACCACACGCTTTTGTGCAGGCAATTTTCTTGATATGCTTCCCATTGCTTCTGCTAGAAGCCTAATGGCACATTCTACTTTTAACTTTCTGAAAGGGGTGTTTTTCCCTACTTTAGGGAAGGCTTAGATCTCAATGGGGAAGGCACCACACATTTGGGAGAACTAGAAACAATGAGTCTCGGTAGAGATGTACAGTTTCGCTGAAGGTATCACCAATTTTGAGGGACCAGGCTGTTTTCAGACTGCAGCTAGCATCCAAGGGACAGGTGAGTCCCTGAAGGACAAGGGAAGGAAAACCATCCAAGTGGGTGGAGCTAAAGGAGCAAAAAAATGTGGCAAGAAATGCATGTCTTTTTAGAGGAATAAGGCAGCTGATTAGATTAGTGAGTACAGTCCTTTGATTCCCCATGTTGATGGATCTGAGGGGCTTAATTCAAATTGTTATCCTCACAAATATATCCATTCCATTTATCGGGATGCCACCAGAGGGCAAAGACTGAGACACCCGCGCAGCTGTCCTAAGTTGGTTCGCCAAGCTCCCAAGTTCTAGGATCTGCCCCAACACTAACCTTGACACTTAAGGAACTAGTGGAACAAGAAGCCATCCCATACAGAAAGAGAGAAAGGAGAACCCACAAGAAGCAGACACCAAGAAGAGCTGTGAGGAGCTGCAGGAAAGAGCCCGTGAGCTGCCTGGGGCTGTGCTAACTCAAATGGCTGTAATGATTCCTGATCCCAAGAGGAAAGAGATCATAGCATGAACTAGGAACTGGAAAATATCTGTACTGCTCAGGTATGAGCTAAGAAAAGAGAGTATGTGTCTAATAGGAATGTATATATAGCCTATACCAAATTGTGCACCATGTTGGGGAGGGAGGTGGGGAAGAAGGGGGAGAAAAATTTTAAACTCAAAAGCAGACGGAAGTGATTGTTGATAAATCAAAATAAATTAATAAAACAAAAGAAAAGAGAGCTTGACACCTTTTCTTTCTTTCTCTCCCACCCACCTCCCCACCCCCTAGAAGTAAAGTATATTGTACATTATCTACTAACTTTAAAATCCCTACTTTTCTTTCAAACCTGACAGTCTTGGAAAGGCAGAAAGGGACTTTCACTTCTAAGACTTAAAATGTGACAAAATATAACACTTACTAGCTGTGTGACCCTGGGTAAGTCACTTAACCCCATTGCCTAACCAAAAGAAAAAAAAATGTGATAAAACTTTTGGTCAAGAAAAAGCCAAATAGCTTGTTGTGTTTTACTTAATGCTCAGGTATATAGATTAGAGTAAGGGAATTCTTCTTTCTCTGATGGGAAATTTGGTTTGGTTGAACCGAAGCTGATATCTGGAACCAATAACCTGAGCAAAGTGGAGGGACTGGTGTTAAAAAAAAGAAGGTAGGGCACCATAAGCGGCCCCTAGTGGGAAGTAAAAATCCCCACCCACGGGCAGCTAGATGGCACACTGGATAGAGCACTGGCCCCGGAGTGAGGAAGACTTCAGTTCAAATCTGGCCTCACACACTTGACACTTACTAAGCTGTGTGACCCTGGGCAAGTCACTTAACCCCAATTGCCTCACCAAAAACGAAAAAAATCCCTACCCACTTCAGTAACAGTAACTCAGAGTTACCCTATACCTATTCAAAAGTTAAGCTGTGAAGAGGGAAGAAAGCAGAGTGAAGGCTACAAGCCCTCACCAAGCTGGCAGGTTACAGTGGCACGTGCCCAACTTGCCTTCCTAGGACATGATGGGCCCCCAGCGATGCTGCCAGCTGCCAGAAATCAAAAGCTCCCACTAGTGGTCAGATGTGCAAATGTTGTATCGTTCAGTATAATGTAGGGTCCTTGAGAACAGTGACTATTCCTCATGTTGTCTTTTTATTATTAGGGCATAGATGAGTGCCTAGCACACAGCAGGGTTTAATAGTGCTTGTTGGTTGATAGATTAATGGAATGTTCAATTCCACTGCTCCCTATTATTAATGTAGATAATTGAGACTTGTAGACCAATTAGTTTGATTATAATAATGGATTTTGTTAATCACGATAGATAAGTACACATTTTTTAAAAGGTCAGTTGTTTTATATTATATTGACAAAAAGAAATTCCGCATGCTTGTGAATGATATACATTCAAAATATCTCTCAGTTTACCTTTTCCACTAGTAAAAGCCAAGATAAAAAGCCAAAAGAAAAAAGCCAAGATAAAAAGTTTGCATTGATTTTTAAGCTTCTCACTGATTTTTTTCCTCCAACTTTGTCCAGCTGAAAGAAAACTGAATTTCTTTTCATAAGGGTCAATTGTGATTTAAAAAAAAATGCCATGTAATATCTGCCAGTAATTGTATGCATAAAAGAATTCCTTTTCACTTTAAGATCATAATATTAAGGTATCTGTAGTGCTAATCACTAGCATTTAATAACTAATTTTGCTCTTTCTTTCTAGGGTCTTTAGCAGGGGTAGGGAACCTAGGGCCTTGAGGCCACATGTGGCCTTCTAGATCAAGGGTGGGGAACCTGTAGCTTTGAGGCCACATGTAGCCTTCTAAGTCCTTGGGTGTGGCCTTTTGACTGAGTCCAAGTTTTACAGAACAAATCCTTTTATTAAGGGGATTTGTTCTATGAAGTTTGGATTCAAAGGGCTGCACTTGAGGACCTGGAGGGCCACATGTGGCCTTGAGGCTACAGGTTCCCCACCCCTATTCTAGATCCTTTTAAAATTTGAATTCATTCAAAAGGCCACACTTAAGGATGTAGAAGGCCACATGTAGCCTCAAAGCAACAGGTTCCCCATCCCTGATCTATAAGAATTATCTCCTTCCCCTGATCCATATTGTAATTTCTTATTTCAATTCTACCTTCCTCTCTGCTTTCGCTCTCACTTCTTCAATTTCTTCTCCCTGTTTCATTACTCCTTCAAGGTCTTCTGCTTCTGAATAGTCAGTAAGAGGTTGAACATCCTCAGGCGCTTCACTGGCTGAAATACAATGATAGAAAATAAACTAGATATAAAACCCAATCATGCTGTTCTTTACAGCAGGCTAGAGGACTTTAATGGATTCCTGAGATGTTTGAAAACTGTTTCACTAGGGGCAGCTAGGTGGCACAGTGAATAGAGCACTCAGACACATAACACTTACTAGCTGTGTGACCCTAGGCAAGTCACTTAACCCCAATTGCCTAAAAACAACAACAACAAAAACAACCAAACCAAAAAAAAAAAAAGCTGTTTCCCTAACTAGAGTAATCCAGGCACACCACATACTTTCCAAGGAAGCTTGTGGCTCCTCTGGCACTGGGGCCACATCAGGCTGTGGTGGCTCTTCCACAGGATCTGGTTTCCAGAGTTCTAATGGGCTAATTTTTTGAGCTTTCCACTTTGGAAGAGCAGTTGAAGCTTCTTCTTCCTCTTCCTCTTCCACTGTTTCCTATTTTAAATGGAAATATATGTGTTATTTTATCTACAAAAACATAAGGTTTGGAAAAAAAAAGACAATAGTTCTCTCTCCTCCCCAAGGCCCACCAAAAGTAATGCCAACAAGTCCTTATTGAAAAAAAGGAAAATAAAATAAAAATAAACATTGTCTTAGAAACAAAAATATGTAACTTTTAGGTGGTTTATCTCATAGGATTTTATGACATTACTAAGGTGTGAGACCACAGAGTCTAGATAATTTTTTTTTAGGCAATTTGGGTTAAGTGACTTGCCCAGGGTCACACAGCTAGTAAGTGTCAAGTGTTTTGGTCTGAGGCCAGATTTTATCTCAGGACCTCCTGACGTCAGGGCTGGTGCTCTACCCACCGAGCCACCTAGCTACCCCCAGTTTAGATAATTCTAAGGAAAAGTGTGGAGGAAAGGGAAGGAAGATTATAAGGGAAATTTTTAAAATTATTACTTTTTATAAATGCTCATATTTTTAATTCTAGAAAATTCTACTTAACCATGACAGAAAAATATTTATGAAAGGAAAGTTGTATATGCTACAGTAAAAGCTCATTATTTTTCATTTCTGTGCTTTCATGATTCTTTAAGGTTCTACCTCACACTCATCAGACTAGCAAAGACAAAAAGGGAAAATAGAAGTTGTTGGAGGGGATATGCTAATGCACAGTTGGTGGAGCTATGAAATAGTGCATTCATTCTGAAAGCAATTTGGAATGACACTCAAAAAATCATGTATTGTGCATGCCCTTTGACTTAACTATCATTACCAGGTTCATATGCCCCAAAAGATCAAAGATGGAGGAAAAGGACCTATATGCACAAAAATATTCATAGCAGCACTTTTTTTTATAATAAGGAACTGAAAAATAAGAGGATAGCTGTTAATTGGAGAACTATTAAATAAATCATGTTAGATAAATGTAGAGGTATGTCATAGTAAGAAATGACAAAAGGGATGGAATTCAGGGAAACAGAAAGTCTAGTATGAACTGATTCAGAATGAAATGAGTAGAACTAGGAGAACATAACTGCATACTACAGAACTAACCACAACGGCATAAAGAAAACAACTTTGAAGGATTTAGGAACCATGCTCAATGCAGTGACTAACGACAACCCCAGAGAACAAAACACTTTACCCACCTTCTAACAAAAAAATTAACAGACATGATATATTAAATGAGAGATGACTGTTTTGAACCTGGCTAATGTAAGGATTTATATTACTTGGTGAGGATTATTTGATACAAGGAAGGGTTTTTTTTCCTTTTTTTAAAATTTGCAAAAGGGTCTTGCCTATTCATATCCTTTGACCATTTTTCAATTCTAGAATAATAACAACAAATCTCTAGCATTAATATAATACTTTAAAGTTTCCAAAGCATTTTATAAATACTAATTTTATCCTCACAATAATCATGGGAGATAGGTATTATTATTATCTGCATTTTATAGATGAGGAAACTGGCAGACACAGGTTAAATGACTTACCCAGGGTCACAAAGCTAATATGTGTCTGGGGTTGTATTCTAACTTAGGTTTTCCTGACTCCAGAATGGCTTTTATAAATTTGAATGAATCCATTCCTTATATTTCTTGTAAATGAAACCTTTATTAGAGAAACTGGCTGCAAAGATTGTTGCCCAGGGGGCAGCTAGGTGGCACAGTGAATAGAGCAGTGGCCCTAGAGTCAGAAGGACCGAGTTCAGATCCGGCCTCAAACATTTGACACTTACTACCTGTGTGACCCTGGGCAAGTCACTTAACTCCATTGCCTAGCCTAAAGAAAAAAAAAGATTGTTTCCCAGTTAACTGTTATCCTTACCATTTTGTTGTATTGGTTTTCTTTGGGGAAAACTTGTTAATTTTATGTAATTAATATTGTCCATTTAATCTCCTGTGATTTTCTCTATGTCTTTTTTTTTGTCATGAAATCTTCAAGTATAGAGAAGAAGTCATTTTTTTCCTTTACTCATCTAATTTTTTTATGATGTCTAGATGACGTATATACTTATAGTTTAACTTGGCATACAGAAGTAGCTGTATGTAGTAGCTGACCTACTTGCTGTCAGACCAGTTTCCCCAGTAGTTTTTGTCAAATGAACACTTATTTCAGTAGCTGAGGTATTTGGTATTATCAAACACTATGCTGCTATGTTAGTTTGCTTCTGTATGCTTTATACCTTATCTGTTCTACATATCAACCTCATTATTTTTTAAACAGGGACCACATCATTTTGATGATTATCACTTTGTAGTGTTGTTTGAGACCTGGTACTAGCAGGTTCCCTTCCTACAAACTTTTTTTTTCATTATTTTCCTTGAGATACTTTATCTTTTGTTTCTACACATAACTTTTGTTATTATTTTTCATAATTTCAAAGTAATCCTTGGATAGTGTTATTGATATGGCATTGGATAAGCAAATTAATTTAAGCAAAGTAATTTTGTCATGATTATTATATTCACCTGTTCTATCCATAAGCAATTAATAATTCTTCAATTATTTAGGTCTATATTTGTGTAAAGAGCATACTATAGTTGTAGTTCCTGTGTGTTGGTTGGTAAGTATTTTATTCATTCTGTAATTATTTTAAATGAAATTGCTCTTTGTATTTCTTCCTGCTGGGTTTTGTGGAAAATACATAGAAATGCTAATGATTTAAAGAATTTGTTTTGTATACTGAAATTGTTTCGATCAATTTAGTTGACTCTCTAGGGTTCTCTAAGTAAGCTATCATCTGAAAAAAGCAATAACAGTTTTCTCTTTTGTTGTTTAATCAATTAGTCATGCCTGACTCTTCGTGACCCCATTTGGGGTTTTCTTGGCAAAGATACTGCAGTGGTTTGCCATTTCCTTCTTTGGCTCATTTTACAGATGAGGAAACTGAAACAAACAGGGTTAAGTGACTTGTCCAGAGTCACACAACTAGTAAGGGTCTGAGGCCACATTTGAACTCAAGTTCTCCTAATTGCAGTGCTGTTGCTCTATATACTGAGCCATCTAACTGCTTGTTTTCTCTCTGCCTGTATTTATTCCTTCAATTTCTCTTATATCTCATTGCTATATCCAGCATTTCTAGTTACATGTATCAACAGTTGTGGTGTGATAGAATTAATATGTGCCAGCATTTCCCCACAATATCAGGTTAGCCCAGGCTCTTCTTCCTTTGCTGTTTTGACAGGTATTCACTTTCCCTAAAAGATGACAAAGTTGCCACAGGGACCTGATTGGCCAGGCTTCCCTGATAAAGTTTCCTAGTCACCTAAGAGCCTAAAAAGACTAATCAGACCTTAGCCGTCTTAGACTTGGTGAGTATCCAAGATCGTGGAAGTCACTATGTCTTACTCTCCCAGATACATTTCCATAAGGAGGTGAGAGAGGTCAAGTGTATCAAATTGCTGCTGTATTTTTGTTTCATAGCCTTATTGTGTTATGACAAAGTAAATCTCCTTTTCAATTACTGTTCAATGACCTATAAGTGGCTCGTTTTGTCAAAAAATCTAACCAAAACTATAAGAAATTACTGGCATTAGATCTGCCTCTAAAAATGTGTCAATAATAGACATCTTTGCTTATCCTTATCTTACTGAAAGGACCTCTAGTTTATCTCCACTGTAAATACCACTTTCCCTTGTTGTATTATACAAGGAATGGTTGATTGAATAAACAATTTAGTGATGTCAGTTAAATGAAAAAATTAAAAGGCTGAAAAAATTATCACTATGGTCCCAAGATATGGTAGATATGAATTACATAGATATGAGCTATATTAGATATAATACACATGCAACACATAACACCACATAAATTTAATTCTGAAAAAAAATATTAGCTGCTTCAATTTAATTATTGGCTGCATCAGTCTGTCTAATGCTTACTAGTGTGAAAAACAAAAGAATGTTTTGTTGTGTCATAACCCAAACTCTTGAAATGACTAGCATCAATTTACAGAGCAATAACATTGTAATAGGTAACTTTGCAAATTTCATTTGCATCTGCAAAGACTTGACACTCAAACTTTGCCTGATAAATAGTAACTGTTTAATTTTGACAAGCAAGACAGATGAGACTTTAACAATAAGCAATGAGCATGATATATTTTAATTTGCTAACATCATCAACATTTTAACTTTCTATTTCTGAACACAAATAAAACTAAAAAGTAGACTATTTCCCAAAGCTGTCTTAAGTTTTTTAAATCATACTACTTCTGACTTTAAAGCAGCAATATAACTAGACATTCCATGATACCTACAAATGTACTAATTTATTACATCCTACCATACAACTTACCATATCTGAAAGTTTATATTCACCATGCTGTTCGCATCCAATATCAAAAATATACTTTCCAGGGCCCATTGGCTATGTGAAAAAAAAAAAAGAAATAAAATATTACTTCCAACTATGATGGTTCAATTTACAATACAAATAGAGCATGCTTTATGACATGTTTTTTCCCAGACCTGTGATTTCTTCAGTGTAGAAACTCCTTCCATCAATATGGATCAATATTTTGTCTGTAACTTAAAGTCTTAAAGAGTTGCCAGGGGCACCAACAGATTAAATGACTTACCCATGTTCATACAATCAGTTTGCATAAAAGGCAGAACTTGAGCCCTGGACATCCTAATCACAAGGCTGACCCTCTCTACCCATTATAATAGTACACTGCCTCTCCTAGATCATAACCATAGCACAACTTTAACAACCAGAACAATTAGGGGAAAGAAAATCTTAATTATTTGTTACTTTTATGAATTAATGATTGTTGCAAAGCAGAGCTCCTCATTAAGTGAATAGATAAGACCAATTTGCATTCATTTTAAGAGGATTTCCAACAGCTTTATTGAGTAAGTACTAATGATTTTCTTAGCAAATTCTTTCTGTAACTAACTGACTGTAAAGTTCAGTTTTATCCCCTGATCAAATGACTATGATTTCCAGACTAAGAGGTTCAGAATTAATAAGGTTTTCTGCATTTTATATTAAAGTTCAAAATCTACACAAAAAGGAAAAAAAATTGTACAAAATGCCAAATGCCAGGTGTATTTTAAGACACTTGAAGAACAGTACTAAATAAATGATACAATGTAAGTATCCTTTATTAAACGTTACGCAGATAATAGCACCTGTCTTCAAGGTCTTTGTGAGAATATAATGAAACATTTACTAAGTGCTTTGCAAACTTTATAGTGTTACATAAATGGTAGCTTTCATCATCATCATTATTATATTATAACTGCTCAATAGACTTAATCTTTCTATACTTATTTTGTTAGACAGGAAAGGAACTTGACACAAATTATCTGTAAAGAATTTTATCTGAATCCTCATGAGATCCAAATAGGACACATCATCCAAGAGCACCTAAAGATGGAACTAGATGGAAAAAAATAGACAAAAAGTATAAAAGATCTGTCAATACGTCCATCAACATTTTCTTTATCAATAACAATGGAGACATATACAACTTTTAAACTTTAATATCAGAGCTCAAAACAATCAAATGTGACAATATGTATAAAGTACTTTGAACACCTTTAAGCACCATATAAATATTTGCTATTACTAATATTACACGAAATAGTATCAATGGCACTAAGGAAAACAAAAATAAAACTAGTAGCTGAACGAGACCAAGTACATGGGGGAGGTCTGTGCTTGAAGTGACTAAATGCTAAGGAAGTTGAGGAAGAAAAGAGAGGAAAATAGCAAATGGGGGTGAAGGGGATCACAGATGATTTTGAAATTTATTAAAAGGTGATCAAAAAGGAATCTGTTATTGATTCATACCTGCTTTCTCACTTCTAAAAAATCTTGATGAAAATGATTTACTCATATAGTTGTGTATGTGCATATGGGTTTATATTATACACACAGAGACACAGACATACATATGTATCATGATAGATAACAATATAAGAAGAAAACAGGCAGGATTTCACAATGAAATTCTATAGCTGGTGCTATTTTTAGAGTCACACAAATCACTGAAAAGTACATAGAACACAAAATCAAGTTGTATCTAAGTGTTTGATTGGAACAAAATGCTCACTTAAGACTCTCCAACGGGGTTCTTCTCAAGTAAATGTCAGGATCATAGGTTCAATGACAAAAGTAACTTTGTTTAATGACATTCCAATTAATATCACATGGGGCACAAAACAGGGAGAGGGTCCTTGTGATGGAAGAGAGCTTACATGAAATCCAAATGGAAGAAGGGTTACCTTTAAATAGTGAGGCACCATAGATGATCTGTTTATGGATAACTTTGACTTGATTAAATCAAGACCCAGAAAATTACAAAGCTTTCTAACTGGAAATTCACAACTACACAACCTACACAGAAGAAATGTATTAGATGCCAAATGTCCAGATTATGCTGCACAGGTGGATGGATCTATCCATTAAGCTAATCTATTTGTACAACATGTATATCTTAGTCAGAATGTAGCTAAGACCAATACTTAATAGAAGGAAAAGAGCAATCTCAATTTCAATGACTCCAAACTTCTCTATAAACAAAATTCCAACCTTTTTTAACACCAATCTTCTAAATGCCATTGCATGGAATAATATAGTCTGACTAATCAAAATTACAATGCCCAAAGTACAATGGAAAGATGTTTTAATTGCTCATGGTTGAACTGGGCTAATATAATAAAAATTATCCTACCAAAATTGATGTATCTACTTTCCCTTTGTATTTTGGAATCATATCATAATATTTTCTTTAATTTCATAAATAAAGAGGAATCCTGGACTCTTCTGATTGAATTCCATGACAGCTGAAGGCCTATCTCTTGTCTTCCTGAAATCTTTATTGAATAACATTGAAATTCTAACATTTAACTAATACAATCCTTATAGATGGAAATTTGAGTTTCCCTTTTTTAGTGAGCTACAGATTCTATTAATCTGTACTTCTCATCTGTTTCTAATACTTTTGAGTAATTTTCTTGTATTATTTCCTGCAGTATGATATTCAGGATATCCACTATATTTTTCCAGGTGATCTACAATCCTTAAGTTACCTCTATACATTCTGACCTTCAAAGTCAGTTTTTCTGGCTAGTTAAGGAGATTACATTTTTCCCTACTATCTTTTGATTGTGTTCAAATTTTCTTCCATTTCTGGATTTTTGAATTTCAAATCTGCCATTCTCTTTTTCAAAGTCTATATACTTTTGAAGAGATTCTCCTTGCCATGTTCCAAATGTTCCACTTTCTTATTGACTGATTTCTTTTTCTGACAACCTTGTTTTCTGCATTAATTTCATCCTTATTTCTTCTTTGAAATCTTTTATTTTATCCCAAACCAATATGGGGTTTGTTGTTATTGTTCCATTATTTCAGAGTATTCTCTATGGAGCATTCTCATTTTTGATTGAGTATTGATGGTATCATGAATTCTTCCAGATTGCTTATTTTTCCCTCTTTGTGCATTTTATTAGGGGTTTATTATCTACCCTTCCTCTTCTTTATTTGTGTCTTTTCCATTTTACGAACCAGATAGTCTCGCCCCTTTGCTCTCTGGTACCTTCCAGATCCACTACCATTTATTTTCTCCTGTCCATACTATAGAGGGTAGACATCTTCAGTGACTTCATTATGAAGCAGATACAGGTTCTAAATGGATCCATGCTGCAGGGAAACTTCAAACGGGGAGAGTTGATCACATCTCTATGTATACCTTCCCTTCTACTGCTCAGTCTCTTCTCCAACCCTAGTTTGCTTCTTTCTCTGTCTCAAAGCTGGGCAAGTTCACGGTACTTCCTCCATTAAGGAGTGGGCATGGAAGGATCAGGCTTGGTCACTGTCAAGAGGGAACGAGATTGAAGATGCCCTCAGCCAAAACTAAAAGGAAGAGTCAGATGCACTGGGTGCAATAAGGGGAGTGAGATCATCATCAAGTCCTCTGCTGCTATTTCAGAAGATTTTCTCTGGAGGTGTTTCCTATAATTTTTTTTATTGTGATTATTTTATTTGATGAATTTCTTATTGCTCTGAGGTGGAAGTGGTGGGAGGTTTCATTTTGATGTAGTCACTCAGTCTATCACACAATTGGAAATATCCCTGAGAGATGCTGACTTTCAAAGAATGTAAGGGAGGTCAAAAAAGTTTACTTATAATCATATATGTGTAAGAGTCTTTTATGAAGAATAAACATTTGAGGTCCCAATTTTCAAGAAATAAACATTTATAAAATAAAGAATTAAAAAATTTGACCAATATTTTTGGAGAGATGCAATGAAAAAGGGATGTGAGAAAAAATGTTATTAAGATACTCATAGAAAAAGTCTCACTCCATCCACATCTTGCTCCTCTGTTGATAATAAAGGTAGAAGTGGCAAGATAATCATTCACAAAGTGAGGCAGAAAGTCTTAATGTTTTCATACATCATAGCATTCTGTTATTTCACAGGATGCCTCCATATTTTAAAAAATATTTTCAGTTTTCAGTTATTTTTATTTTGTAATTTTTATACATTGAAGGATACTTAATGAAATTATTTTAAGGCACTTATTAGAAAGCTGCATTTTAAAAATTACTTACATTTTTATTTACGAACTTGCCCTGGTATCTGTGGTTGAGGTGAATGAATTCTCCTGATCCCTCCTGTTGTCCATTTAACCAAGTACCAACATACTGAGAGCCAGTCTCAGCATAGACATATGTGCCTTGCCCCTGCCTGTTGAAGATTGAAAAGGTTTTAATTTTGTATAGGTTAAAATATAAAGAATTTTTTTAACTGATTGGGAAATAAAGGGAAAAAAACCAAGATAAAGCCAAGTTCCAACATGTAGAGGAAAAGAGCAAGGGACTAGGAGTCAAATGATTTGGGGTAATTTCCTGGCTCTACTAATTACTGTGTGACCTTGGACAAATCACTGTACAGTTAAAGCTCAAAGGGACCTTGTTGATCACCTGGTCCGACCTCTTCATTTTGCATTTGTGGTATGTATGAGCAATAGGCTGTGGGCCTCAGTTTTCTAACTACACAGTAAGTGAGTTGGACTGGATCAAAGGTGTCAAACTCTGGCCACATATGACCAGAAGAACTCCAATGTGGAGTAGGAATATGATTCAACATAATGTTAATTGGTTGTTTTCAAGGTCAATATGGTACCTGCAGGGACCTATTTGTATTTGTTTTATGCCGTTGAACCAGGTAATGTCTAAAGTCTCTTCTAACTCAAAATAAAAACAAAACTGTGAAATAGCTGACATCGTTTTTGTTGGAGGCTTAGAAATGTCCTTGAATCTGAGTTGGAAAGGACTCTAAGATGCCATCTAAACCAACCAAGAGTTGGACAAGAGTATCTTCTACAAAATATACACTACACCCCAAAGTGGCCTGGTTCCCTTTAGACAGCTTTAATTATTAGGAAGCCTTTCCTCATGTCATGATTTGGATCTGCTTTTGAAATACCCACTTACTATTCAGAGCTGTGCTTTCCAGGACCAAGAGGACAAGCCTAATCTCTCTTGCAAATGTCTTACAAATACTGGAAGACAATTACTATCAGTTCAGAGTCCTGTGCTCTGCAGAATAAATATCCCTCATTTCTTTCAATGCTCCTCACAGAGCATGATCTCAAGGCACTCCTGGTCACACTGCTTTGGTCATCTCTCCGGTTTATTGACGTCCTTCCTAAAATGTGGGAACCCACAATTAATGCTATAATCCAAATGTGGTCTGATCAAGAATACGATAAGACTATCACTTATTGTTAGCTAGACACTATGCCTCTCTTAAAATAGTCTCATATTGAATCAAATTGTTTGTTACACTCAGTACTATCTAATGTCTATTCTAGCTTTAAATCCAAGAGAAACTATGAATTGCCTGATGGCCTTCCCCTTTGATTGATACTTAAAAACTTAGTAAAACCCTTCCTGAGCTTGTAGGCCACTAAAACTGTAAGATGTTTTGCAGATGGATTATTATCTAGTCATGTTTCCCTCATCTTGTACTGGTAAAGTTGTTTTTGAAACCAAGTGTAAGATGTTCTATTCAACTCCTCATATGAGAAATAGCATTGTAATGGATAACATCCTAGTTCTTGGAAGACAAATTTTCACAAATTTACTAGATGGATGAAAACGGAAAACTTTCTTAACTTCTCAGTCTCAGAAAATAAAAAAAATGATCAGTTGTAGATAGCTTGTAGTCTACATCAGTAGAGAAAATTCTACACTAAAGAAATTATAGGTCCTTAACATAGGTTTCATTTTATTAAATTGGGTCCAACATTCTAGCCTTTCAAGTTTATCTTAGATTTTCCTGCATTAATTGGTTAACTTTTCCTCCTAGCTTTGTGGTACCTGAAAATTTAACAGTGATGCTATTTATTTCTCTATTTAAGACATTGATTGAAGTGTTAAACAAATTCTGTCCCCTGGCTTCCTTCATCTTATACAGGAAGCCTTTCCTGATCATCCTTAATTTTAGCACCACCCCTCAATTGATTATCTCCAATTTATTCTGCATTATCTTCTTTGGACATAGTTGTTTGCATGCTGTCTCCTCATTAGACTGTGAGTGCCTTCAGAGTGGGGACGATCTTCTGCATTTCTTCATATCCCTAGGACTTAGCACAGTTCTTGGCACAAAGAAAGTGCTTAATAAATAACAAGGCAGATTCCTAGAACATTGTAATATAGACATTCATCCAACTTGAATTAACTTTTGTTTTATTGTTTCTTAATGTCTGTCTCATGGAATCATTAGCTCCACTTGACCAATTCTAATTTTTAAGTAGTTATTCTCTTCAGTTAGGTTTTGTACCTCTTTTACCAAGCTATTAATTCTCTTTTCATAATTTTCTTTATTGCTCTCATTTCTTTTCCCAATTTCCCCCCTATCATTCTGATTTGATCTTTAAAATCATTTTTTGCTCTTTTTAAAAATCTCTTCCTTTAGCTTTTCTAGGGATTTTTACTGGGCTTGGGTCCAATCTGAACTTTGCTCTCTACCCAGGTACGAATCCTGCTCCCTTCTGTGATCACTCCTTTCTGCCCCAAAATTGCTACCCATAACTGGGTAATAGGCTACATAGCTGCCAAATGGTGCCAGGTCCTATGCCCAGGGCTAACACAGGAGTCTCCTGGAACCTCTTTCTGACCAGCTATTTAGTCACCTTACCATCTCTGTGCATTGAGAATGCCCAGTATTCCTGATGATGATGATGATGATGATGATGATGATGATGATGCAACTTCTACCTGCAAGGCCCCCAGCTAGTACCACTTCTATGCCCACTCCAGTGTCTGCAGACCTCTCTGTCTATCTAAGCTTCCCTGAGCCAGAACAGTGATTTATTCTTTTTGTTGGCTTTTTTGCTCAGAATTTGATTTGACATTTATATGCTCACCTCATAGGAAAGTTTCTGGGAGAAGTGTGGTAGTTGTGATCCTTCACTCTACCATCTTGACTTTACCCCCAATTTGACATTAACTTTTAACAATTAATCTCTTATTATACTCATTCAAATAGTTCCAAATCCAGCAAATAAATTAATTTCTAGCCTAAGTTCACAAGAATAGTACAAGAGGCTTTGTCAAATATTTTGCTAAAATACAGATAATCTACCACATATCTATAAAAATTCCCGATCTATCAGTCTAGATTATAAATTTTTTTGGTTCAGAAGGAGTAGAATGGGAAAGACCCCTGCCAATCCTAAGTAAGGATCTCTGCTCTTTCTGGTTTTGTTTTAGTATTTCTTGTTCATGGAATCACTGAATAGTCACCCATTCTAACTTTTAGGGAAGCTGTGACTTTGGCAAGGTTTTGCACTTCCTACACTAGGCTTTTTATTATCTTTCCTATTCTTTCCTCTAAACTTTTCATTTCATTTTAAATTCTTTTCTCTGGAGCTTTCATTTCATTTGTAATGTTATTTTTAAACTTTTGCATCATTTCTTCCAGGGATTTCACTAAAACATGTGGCAAAACAGTTTTTTTGTTTGAGAATTTGCTTATAGATGTGAGTTTTTTCCTAAATTTTTATCTCATACATCCCCAAATAACCTGTTTATGGTCAGTGCTTTCTTCTGTTGACTAATTTTTCTAGCCTTACTTCCTTAATGAGGATTTTGTGTCAGGGTGACTCTGAATTCTTCTGGAAGGAACAGTGGAACTTTATTTGGTCCCAATCTATGTTATTTGTGGTCTTGCAATTGCTTCCTCTGGGTGTGGAGCACAATTCTTCAGGGACCTCAGTTAGTGCAAGCCAGCAAAATGAAAACGTTCAGTTCCTTAACTGGTCTTATCTAGGGCATGGTTTGATTGCTGCCTTCCTGGTATGAGATGTGCTAGTCGGGGATCAGAGTAAGACCCGTGAAGGCTCTGGTATCCCTGATCCAAATTCTAATCACAACTTTAAGATCTTTATACACTGGAAGCTTTCTGTGCTCGTTGCTCCTAGGCTGGGCTTCTCTGACTGAAGCCTTTGGTTCTCTCTCTCTCTCTCTCTCTCTCTCTCTCTCTCTCTCTCTCTCTCTCTCTCTCTCTCTCTCTCTCTCAACTTCAGGCAGTTTCTCTCTGTGGATTTTACTCAGTCTGGTGTTCTTTTTTTCATCCTTGATGCTATTCTGTTCTCAATCACTTTGCTGGGCTAGTTGAAAGTCTTTCTCTGCAATTTCCAAAAATGCTACATCATAGCTGGTTTGAAGATGTAGATGGGGACTTCAGCTGCCATCAAGAAACAAGCCCAGGGAGTCCAATTGTTTGATCCATCTATGCCCTATAAGAAGCATGGCCAGTGCAACAGCCTATCACAGAAAGAAGAATCTTCTATGACTCATCTTGAAAAAGCCTGGAGTCCCTGATGAGCATCCTGTGAGTTGTTCATTGGATGTATCCCACATTCCACTTTTGCAGCAAAAATACCTTCCTCCTGCTACTAAGATGATTGCTCAACTGATCTTGCCATTTTTCATGCAATAGAGAGCCACCAAAATTAAATTTCTCTGAATCTTTCACTATTGTATATCTCTAAAATTCTGAGTCCATATATCATCAATTTCCCAAGACCCCTATGACTCTGTTAATGATCACAGAGATTTATCAAGAATATAAAGACACTTTCCATTTCCTGGTGATTTACAGATTCTTTAGTACTTCACATCTCTCTCAAATTATTGATAGCATATCACCAGACGCTCTCAGTATCTTCATCTCTGTGGCACTGCTTCAACTGGTAGTCATCTGGCTCTAGGTGCATTAATAGGCATTAATACTTTAAGTATACAGCATGCATATTGTAAATATCAGCCAACATACTTGTAATGGATGGAGGAATACAACTCACAGATGAAACCTTCTATGTGTTATCTCCCCCATTAAAATATTAGTTCCTTCAGATCAGAGACGGTCTTATTTTTCTATCTGTATCCCCAGTACCTAGCACAGTGCTTTGCATGTAGTAAGTGCTTAATAAATGCTTCATTCATTTAGGAATCAGTACTGGCAAACAAAAACAATCTCAACTGAACTGTTCAGACATGAAAAGGAAACATGCAAGAAAATATGCTGTTCAATACCAATCTAAACAAAAGAGAAAAAAATTCTAATTTTTCTTTTTTATGATCCCTATAAAAGTATGGTATTCAAGTAGGAAAGATACAGATTGAAAATCTCCCCAGGGAACCTGCAAATGTGAAGGACATCTAAATATGTTCCAA